CAAGCAATAACCCATCTGCCACTCATTTAATTCGACAGCAAATGCCTCAACGCCTCCAATTAATGCCCTTTCTGCGTTGGAACTCGTCTCACCTGCACAGAAGCTGCCTCCTGACGAACGGCAGCCTGAGGTGGTCCAGCCACGCAAGCTCGTACTGCATGCGCGTGTACGGGTAAGGGAAGCTGCGACACACACACACCGTCGGCGGGGTCAGTAGGGGAGGGCTTGACGTCGCCGGCTAAAATGTCGCCGGATTTTCGGCTAGACAACGCGACTCGTTCCTACGGACACGGACCACAGTACTGATGTGCAAGTTTGAGCAATTCAATGCAAATGCGTATTTGACCAATACACATAATGTACGTACATGGCAAAATAAAGACAATGGATGCAAAACGACAAGAAGATCCACGTTACCACAAATTCCATTTCTCGCCAGTGCGCACGTTGTAGAGAGCTCATTTGGCCACAGTTATGCAAGTGCGCGTATCCCACGTTAAAAGCTCAGCTTAGCTTTGCAGCGAGAGCAAAGGGCAGTGCCCCGCACCTGTACGCAATCTCGTACCCGTCCCCCGACCTGCCGAACTTCAGAGCCATCGACAGCACGTGGCAGTTGTGCTTGGCCGACTTGTAGTAGAAGACGTCCTTGGGGGGCATGCGGCTCCATTGGGAGCAGCCCCCGGCGCGCATCACCGGCGTCATGCCCGACTTGAAGAGGCTGCGCGTCTTGCTGAAGTTCACGATGGTGGCGACGGCCCTCTGGTCGGGCGTGTTGTTGCTGACGCAGAAGTGGAACCACAGGCGGAACCTGAAGGGAGGAGACGCGTGAGTAAGGGGGTTAATGATGTGGAAGCGCACCGTGGTACTCAAGCCGGTTGTTTGCAACATATAAGCGTGGTCATTGCAATTTAGGACGCATACAGGTCGTTCGCGGCTTGTGTTCCGGAGGCTGGACAGAAGTTGATGCAGGAATAAAGGTGAATTACCATTGATGCTGTGATGGGAAAGCCGCAGGGGGCCGCCCGGCGCCACTCAGCTTCGATGATCGTCAATTGTGAGAGACGCCAATTGTGAGCATCCGTTGCTCCAGAGACAGGCAATGAACCCCACCTGTCCCATCGTCCGCTGCTGGCCGCGGCAGCTCCGCGGAGGTTGGGCACCGCTCAAAAAGGCACTGTCCAGATTCCCAAAGGGCGCCACGCCATACTATCAAGCAATCTTCAGTACCTCTGAGACGCTTCGGCCACTGTTTGTGAGAATCGAGGGCACCGAGTTCCCAGCGCAGCATTCCAACTCGCCGGCGCAAACTACAGTCGCGAAAAGGAGACCACTGATCACCTGGGGTTCATCGCGTCGTGCCGAAGGTAGATCTCGTACTCCCCGCCATCCTCCGACCGCCTCACATCCCCAAGGTTGCCTCCCTCCACTCCCTCATCGAACCTCAACCACCCTCTTCCCCCAGCAGCCGTCTCGCCCTCCTTCCCGCCTACGCCTTGATCCGTTTTTCTATCCGCCCCTGGCGGTTGGCCACTCCTGGGGCTCAGGACAACGTGGCCAGTAGTTAATGACGCTTGGCGAATTTTGAGCCGTTGGGAGGTGCCGAGCATGGGGGAGCCCGGGAGGTCGGTGTCTTGGGGGGGGTTTGGAGATGGCTTGAGAGAGGGCCGCGCGGACTTGGGACGTGGTGGCGTCATACGGCGTTGAGGCCTTTGGCGCATGACATTATCGTCAGATCCGTTGATATGTGAATTGCTGAAGCGGCTTCTGTCCTCTATATCACACTTTGCCAATTTTCGTGTATTAATCAACGTGTCATTTCTGCAAAAGTGGATTCGATTTCGGTGCATCGTGGATGGTGCGCTGTGCTGGGGCCATTGGCGCTGTACTGCGCGGGTAAATATCGTCCTCCCTCAAATGCTTTGGTTACATTTGTCACATGAACATGAAGAAAACACTGCCCTCACATCTTGAAGGCCATGTTGGGCAGGAATTCCGGACCATTGTTGTTGATCTTATCGCATTATTTGTTCAGTATGGCGCCCTACCACTGAGGACGGTTTTCCTTGAGTTGCATAATTTTAATTCGATATTAAAAACATTGTAATGCGGTTAACTTGTGCTTCATGCAGGGCATTGTGCTTTCAGTTATTGTACAACCATAGTGCATATTAATGCCGTCAATGCGTAGATAGGATTGGAAGCGGGGGCGTTACAACGTCTTAGAGAGGTTGTGTATTTTGGTCCATCAACTCCAAGTTTCAGCGAACCTGCCGCATGGAGGGGAAGGCGCCCTGTTGCTGGGGCGCTTGCGGACGACCTCCTCGTTGGATGGCACGCGCAGCTCCGGAACGTCTGCCCGCCTCATCGCCGTTTTGACGTGCCGCTTGGTGGACGATATGACGGTTAGAGGCGGCGCCTGGGGCCTCAGGCAGGCCTCCATCCACCGAGATATTCCAGAATCTTCGACACCGGGAGGCCTACCTGTACCGGTTACCGATGCGCCGGGATCCCCGGGAACCACGGAGCCACACTGATGAAAATGACATCAAAATCGTGGTGTGTGTCTCCATGTGATAATATACGTGATTATGCGGTTGCGTAATGGAGTGAGTCGTCCCTGTTTGGATGTGTGTCACATTCCTGGTGCTTGTCATTATAAGATTTGAACCTGTTTGGTAATTGAATGAAGCAGAGTGCGTGAGCCAAAATAGAGCAATCAGTGGAACGATGCAGTAAAAAATGAAATTTATTTTGCAATATAGTGCTACGAAGGTCCCAATTAACACTGATCATATAAGTGCTCATCTTGAGCCATTTTTCTTCGGTTCTGCACACGATGCGTCAGTGGTCCGGAGCCTTGTTTTTTTGCCTGACGAACCATTGAAGCCAATTCCGCTGGCCGTATATCCTTGATACAGTATTGTGTCATTGACATTGTAACATTAATTTTAAATATCAATACGATACTCTACATCATATTCAGGTCGATATTATTCTCTTACAATGCACAGTACCCAACATTCCATTACCTAACACACGATTTTTACAGGCTCAGAGTCAATGGCAAACGCACGGGAACAGCGAGACTCTAGCTTTGCATGCTGGCTCGAAAGAAGTACATCGTGAACGGAAACTCAGCTGTACATGCTGTACAGCAGTTTCTTCCACCAATGATGTGGACACCGACCTGTTCTGCAACACCTTCCATCGCGGTCCTGTCCACCGCATGTCCAGCCTTCCCCCGGTCAGTCTGACTTGAGCAGGACCGCAAAGATTCTTTATGTTCAACCAGGGCAGGAGGACCCCGATCGTCGGCCACGCTACTTGGACTCGGCGGGTCCCAATTGGATTGACTGACCCGTTGACTTTGAGGGGGCGTGCCGCCGAACGCGGCGGACACGGCGTCCTCCAAATGACCGAGGAGGGCGCTCATTGGGGAGCAGGGAGGGGGGGGAGGGGGGGGGGAGAGCGATACGAAGGTGCAGGTAAGGCAGGGGACAATCAAAAGGAAGCGAAATAGAGGCGGCTGCCTGCCCACTTCTCGGCCACAGTGTTTGAATGGCGTGTCAGACATTCCTGCGTAGACTCTGCGCAGGATTATACAATCAAAATGCCATCAGTCGGCAGTGGAGATCGCCAGAAACGGAAATGAAGAACTGTTTTGCCCACCGTGTGGAAATTTGAACCAGCATACATTTAAGTTTCGCATCAATGATTGAGCGATGATTTTTTTTTGAAATCCGTTGCAATTACATTTGCTAGAATCATGGCAAAACAGGTCCTGTCACCAAGCTGGCGATGTCGGGCAGTGTTCCCAGGAAACAACATGCACTCTGAGCACTGAACGATGGATAGATGGAAAATTGTGAATGAAGGAAAGGAGACAGCCGCGAAGCCCCAATTCTCCCCGAAATTCTGCTTTCCGTACCCCCTCCGAACGAGTCCTGCGCAGGGGGCTTGATCCTGTTTTCTGATGGGGCACATGGCACAGAAAGTCGAAAAAATGTATGTTTTGTTTCTCACATAATGCACTGCCAAACTAGGACAAATATTGTGCGTTGCGAAGCCATTTATCACTTTTTGCAATGGCAATTTTTTGACACGTACAATTGTTTTGTGATACTTTTGCGTATGCGACAAACAAGCTGGTTATGACACGTGCGAACATGCTTCCTGGCCAATTCTTCGTATAGCATGAATTTGCCATATGATTCACAATGAGTTTCATGTCGGCGGCATAGTTTTGGACCTAGTATATTGACTGTGGAACAAATGCAGGTTTTTCGTGTGCATAGATTGAGATTGTAGTATATGTCGAATAGATTGTGTCGATTTGGCAGCTAGAGATTTTACTTGAATGGCTGGTTCACTAAGCGAAATGAGGTCTTTGCGTTTGCCATCCGCAGTCAGAGCTCAAGTACATTGGAAATAACCAAAGGGAAATTATTTTGCCGATCCATGATCTGATCTAGATTCCAAGCGCTCGAAGTTTTGTACCTTGAGCTCAAGTCTTTGGAAAGTCCGTTTCATGCCGGCATCCGATTTGCCGCTCCCGATTGGAGGCACCACGAGGCTCAGCTTCCATTCTCCCTCAAACCCTCGGGCCAGGGGCCCTCAAGCCCCCGGGACTGGGAATCAGTGTAATGTCGCTACCAGAGTTTAGCCATTCAATTAGCCACTAATCAAGCACGTTTAAAACAGTCAATTGACCATTGAATTTAAATATTGTACACCATCGTTAAGGCAACATTTATCCGAAATTAAATGACATTTTGCCCCAAGAAAAATTTGCAGTTACCAGCCCTCCCATTGCGCTCAAAGAAGTAACTTCAAAGACTACCCATTCAATTAATCTACCCATCGATCACTGTTGCTGCAGACATCGCCTGTCCGCTGCACACATGGTCTCCGTCAGCATAGAAGCTCACCATTGATGGCCCTCGTGCAGTGCCACTGTGGAGTAAAGAACGCTGGATATATCCGCTCATGTGCACCGCAAGTGAGGATCAAGTAGCATATGTTACGTCAGAAAGCCAGAAGCGGGTTGGAATCCGTGGGTATGTCCATTCAATGTCACTTGCACAAGGGGGGATGGCTATGTGCTTGCATACAGTTTTAAAGCCGAATAATCTCTTACATGTGCATGCAACGCACCGAGCCAAGCCTTCGAACTTCTCAGAATTGTGTTGCTCTCGCGAGAACACAAATTTGCGTTCCAAAAGCGACTTCCATCCCAAGACTCAAATCTTGTAAGTACCGATCTGGGAACGTTCACAGAACAGTCTCAAATTCCTGAATATGCTATTTAGAAAATTCACATCAACCGGAAAATACAACGTGTTCCATACTGAATCTACTTTGTGGATTCCCTAATGTGCCGTATTGTTTTCAGAAGCCCTCACGGCAATCCGACGCTAATATGCCGCCTCATATATAAACCAGAAAGGGTAGACGCCCGAAGAAGCGCCTCAAGGCCATCGCACCATCCGCCTCTGGCAGAAAATGCGCATTGCAGACAGCTTTTATCCGCGCTCAAATAGTGGTAAACTGAAATGAAGAACTAATTTGCATATTAAAAAGAAATCCAGCATTCATCAGCGCAGAGTGCGTTTGGAAACATGCAAAATTCGTGCGCTTTCTGCATGTGTTCGAGAAGTGGTAGATTTCAACGCATAAGCAGTGAAAAAGCATCTAAATGCCACCGGGCTGTGCAACTATGACGGTGGATTTGATGGCAATTTTTGCAAGAGTGCTGCATTGTGCCATAGAGCGAGACGGGTGGAAAATCTAGGATCCCTGCTCAATTGAAAAGCTACTCTGTCTCTTCACTGCGTCTAGTACCATCTAGTCACGTCCCCAGAGTTACCAGTTCCTAATGGTCCAGGCGTTCCGATGTACCAATGATACATGTTTATGTATGCATGCCGTATTTGCCCGTATTAGTACGTGTGTACTGGACCCACAATGAGCGGTGGATACTAATAGTCAGTCATGGATACCAATGCAGTTTATACCCTTGATCGAAGGAATAGGCAAAGAAAATTTCAAAACATAAATAGTGAAACGCCCAAAAAATGGGCTTGAAATATTGTAAAATGTAGCGCATGTGTAAAAACATCACCAAGTCCAAGTTCCAAATCGTAGACACCACACCATTGATAACACCATATTGTTTGTGGCAATGCTGTTACTGAAACTTGCCAGCCTCTTCACGGGAGCCAGTGGTCTGTGCTTGGGGCTGCACCAGGTGGGAGCGATTGGCAATTGGGGCCAGCAGGGGTTCCTTGGACAGCTCGAGGCGGGTTTGCATCCGCGAAGAAAGGGAACCGACATAGCCCACAAAACGCCGCAAAGGCAGGGCCCGTCCCCAATGCGCGCAGCTGCCAGGCCACAAGCCCATGGCCATGGGTTTGTTGTGTGATTGACCAATCGCAGATCCCATCAGGTATCCAAGCCGGCATCAGTCTGGTAGAACGGCAGGCGCCAAGTCCGTCGTCACGACTCGGCGCCCCGACTTGTCCAGGCCAGTTTGCGAGGTGTTGTCGCACAACGGCCGCCGCCCTGACCAGCGCCATCGCCTGTCCGTTCCTGGCGATCCACAAGAACG